TAAAATGTGCTCTAGTTAAGGAGTTATTGATACTTCAAGTTCAAAATAATGATATAAAACCTTAATAAAAATACACTTTTAAGTACTAATCAAGACAACATGGAGAGGTTATTGCTTATGCGTCCAAACAATTGAAGCCTCATGAGGTCAACTATCCATTGTATGATCTAGAATTGGTTGTAATTGTGTTTGCCTTGAGAGTGTGGAGACATTATCTATATAGGTCTCAAGTATAAATTTTTACTAATCATAAGAGTTTGAGGTATTTGATGACTCAGAAAGAGTTGAATGTGAGATAAAGATGTTGGGTAGAGTTAATTAAAGATTATGATTGTGTGATAAACTACCATTCAAGAAAAACTAATATTGTTGCAATATGTTTAGTCGTAAGAATAAAGTCGTAGTAACGGATTCAAATGAATGTGATAATATGAAGCTAATTGAACTGGGAAAGATAAATGCTAAAATAGACATTGGGCCTAGGGATTTTTTGTTAGCTCAGTTAAAAATCAGGTTAATAATCTAAGATAAAGTATTGGAAGCACAAATGAGGGATGCTGAGGTTAAAAAGGGGAGGGATAAGGTAGAATCAGGAGTTGAAACTCCTTTCCAAGTATTGAATGATGGTATGATGGTGATGGGAATGCAAATATATCTTCGTAGAGATAAAGTATTGAAAGAAGAAGAAAAATTTACCCTAAATTTTTATATTTAACTAAGAAATTGTCCCGAATAAAATAGTGGGAGCCTTACATTCATAATCTAAGTTTTTATTGTTTTTTTTAGAATCAATTAACTTTGCAAGTTATGTAAACCTTAATATTATTTATGTATTTGTTTTTATTGATTGCATGTTTATTATTAAACAATACTTGTCTATTATTTTTTGTGATGTATTGAGTAGGAAAGAGGTTCAAGATGATTGGACCATAATTATGATATGAATTGTGTCAGGAATGAAAATGTTGATAACTTGGTATGATCTTGTTATAGTAGAAACTCTGCCAAAACTTTTATTAAAAAAAATTACACTGAAAAAAATAAACATTTATAAGTAAATATGTTTTTTTTTTGGGTCATGATATATGCCCTTGATAATGGTAAGTAATGGTTTTTTGAACTTTTCTTAATATGACCTAAACAACTTCAAAGGCAAGGTTTTTCTACATGCTAAGTGATAAAGTAGCAAATATAAAATATATTGTATTATTAGCCTCATCAATAGCCTTTCAGCTATATAGGCTGACTTTTGTTAGTTGTTTGGAATTATTAAATAAGCTATTAAGTTGTTCAAACCTAATGATTTATATCTTAGTTGGATTATTACCCTTAAACAATACTTCATAGCACTATTAAATGAATGAAATCCATAATTCCATGTAGTTAGATACAATGTTTTCTAGCATGATCAACCATCAGATTCCTCATGTCGTATTCTAATTGTTTAAATTAACAATAAACATATGAATTACAAAATTAACTCCCTGTATTTTTCACCTGATTTTTCTTGCATATAGTTAATTTATTATTCCACCATCTACTGCCTCTATTGTCAAGGTCTTAATGGTTATAATATCATTTTGTATTTTGCTGGCTATTTAAGTGTTGATGAAGTTATAAGTGTTTTTTGAATCTACCATAATGAAACTAGATGTTTATCAACCTTTCTGGTTACTTTAATAGTATGAAACCATATGATACACTCCAAAGCATTAATTGAGATATGAGGATTGATTGTTTCAACAATAAGTTCATCCTCATTAATACCATCTTCTTGGGTTTTATTTTTATCTTCTAAAATAAATCATGAATAAAGCCTCTTGTTTTTATAATTGTTCACAAGTACAAACTTCTCACCACACTAAAAGCATAAGTTATTTGCTCTTATTTCATCTAACTACGTATTCTTTAAGGATTTTGTGGGTTTAATGATTGATTTATTGGTGTAGTTTTGGGTTAAGGTGAATAATAGGCTAGTTTGGGATGATTTTTAAGAGTTGGTGGTTAAGAAAGCTAGGGTCTTATAATGTGTTTGATATAGATTAAATTTGGTTTAAGTGGACTGTGTTACAATTTGAAAAGTATTTTTTTATGTTTTTCTCATGAGGGTGTCTATAAAAAAATGTGTTTTTTTATAAACATACTAAATTATAGACTTGCTTACTAAAATCTTAATATAAACCTCCCATAAAAAAACATTATAGTTTATTTCTCACTAATCTCTTCTATATTACACCATATGACAAAATCCTGAATATAAGCCTCTAGATTCCCCACTTGCTCAAAATCCTTAATTTATTCCAATAGATATTTGAACATTAAATTTACAACATAATGCATTCATATATTCATTTAAAGTAACTTCTTGATTTTCTAGGATTGATTTTTTAGGCTCTTTATAAAATTCTAATGCTAGTAAAGAGTTATACCATTAAGGTAATATGAAACCAACATAAACTTTTTAGAGTCATCAATTTCTTTAACATCAAAGTACTAGTTAAATTTATGAAGCCATTTGTATACATCATCATCATCAAAATTAGAAAATCCATGTTTAGGCTTAAGTACCTTGTTGTGGTAATGTCTTTCTTCACAAGTTAAACATGTCCTTGAAGCAAATTATTTATTTTGAGAGACTTGTTTGTCCTTTATAACACTAGTTTCATCTATAGACTATTACAACTTCTACGGAATAAAGCTTTATTGATAAGATATCTCATTAATGAGATCTTTTAGTTCTTCGAATTTAGCTTTATATCTAGATTTAGTGTTTTCCATTTTCCAACCATATGCTTTCAACACTTTTATTACTTGCTCATACTTTTGTGCATGCTTTTTATTAGCAGATTCAAAGAAATATTTCATTCTTTTGAAATACTGGGATCGAGTATTAAGTGTCATGTCTTGAATCCAAAGATTTATGGCTTTAGTACAACTTGAAACAAGCTTAATATCAATGGACCTAACTTGAAGTATTTACAGGATTGTTTGGATGGAAGGAATGGCTAGTGGCAAATTCTGTAAGTGTAAAATGTAATTTTATTGTGGAAATAGAGAGAATATGTGATTCTTTCAAATTAACCTCAACAATTATTCATTATTCTTCTTATTATTTTCTTTTATAAATTTTGTTACATATAAGTGAAAGCATCCTTATATAAAAAATGCAATTATACTCATCTATTAAGCCAATAAATGACATACATTATAGGACACTAACGAAAGAAAACATCTAAATGAGATGTTGCATTTTACAATCCATAAGCATGATATTACAGGGAATGTAATAGTCATATGTATTGGAGTTAATTTTTTTATAATCCGCTATTCCTAGTTACCAATATTCTATTCTTAGAATAAACTTATGACAAGTAATTAGTTGAAATCTTTAATTTAGAAAACCTAATATTAAATCCTTAAATTTTTCTATATGATTGGGCGACTTTTATTAAATGTTTTATAACAATTTAATTGTTTTCTCTATGAAATACCCTTCATTAAGCTTTTCATAATAATTTAGTTGTTTTTTTCCTTAAAATGTCTTATATTTTTAAAAGGAGCAGCAATTAACTTGGTTAAGGGACCACCAAATAATTCCATACCTTTACTATAATTTGTTTAAAAAAATTGTCATGCCTCAAGTATCACATATAATACATATAATAAAATGAAAGGAAACTTCATCTAAGAAGCTATTTGTTTTGCATAAAATAAAATAAAAAATATTTTACATAATATATTTAACGGAACATAACTAATAACATGATGAATACAATAATATGAAATACAAATGAAATGATGATGGCTAATAAATAATTATGGTAGTAGAGTAATGACCGAGGATAAAGTCGAGGTTATTATAGGTAAGAGATGGCAATAGAAAATGATTGATTATTGTTGCAAAAACAAAATTGATGGCAATGAAAACTATATGGTTATTATAGGTAAGAGGTGGCGATAGAAAATGATTGATTATTGTTACAAAAATAAAATTGGTGGCAATGAAAACAATATAGGAGACATGATAGAAAAAGATTGATTATTGTTACAAAAATAAAATTGGTGGCAATGAAAACAATATAGGAGACATGATAGAAAAAGATTGATTATTGTTACAAAAATAAAATTGGTGGCAATGAAAACAATATAGGAGACATGGGTGTGATGTTAATTGTCGAAATAAGATGATTTTGGAGTGAAGGTTGATAGCATCAACGGTTATGATGGTAGGATACTAATAACAAATAAAAATAATAAAAATAGTTGATTAGGTAAATAGATTATTTACAGGATACTAATGACAAATAAAAATAATAAAAATAGTTGATTAAGTAAATAGATTATTTACTTGAATTGTTCCGGTCATATTAATTTAAAAAAACATATTTAAATGTTGTTAATATACTTTCCAAAAAAAATATTAATTATATAATAATTAATTCAATGTAACCTTACGAACAAGGATAACTATTGAAACAAATTTTCAATCAACAAATCAAACTTGAAATAAAAAATAAGAATAACTTAATAAAAAACAAATCAGAATAAATTATAAAATTTAATTTTCAGTTAATTTAATGTTTAAAAATAAAATTAAAAAAATAATAAAGAAACTTGAGTTAACCCAAAAAAAATTAATTTTAATTATAAAATTAAAATAACTCTATAAAAAACAAACAAAAAAATTATAAAATTTAATTTTTAATAATTCTAATATTAAAAAATAAAATTAAAAAAAATCAATTACCAATAATAATAAAAAAAAACCTAAATTAATTAGAATAACCCATAAAATTCACAACTTGAATCATTCACAACTTGAATCATGTAACTAGAATACTCATAAGGAAAAAATATATATATAAAACTCATCCCTAATATATTAAAAAATAGTAAATGATAATTTTTTTAAAAAAAGCTAAATTTAATTATTATTTTTTAAATCTATTTCAATTAGCAATATTTGTGAGAAGGGGAATAGTAATCTCCCATCCTAACAATTAATAATAACAATCCAATAAACAGTAGATGAAAAAGGGAATTTCCTTTACCACCTAATAATACACAGTTGGATTAACAGGACCTGGCACAAATCAGATGCCATGTTGACAAAGGGAATGCAACTTGCTACAAAAGAACAACTATCTATTGAAACTAAACCTGATTGAAACACTAAACAAACCAGCAGATAATGAAGAGGTCACAATGGAAAAGATAACTTCGACGCTCCATCAAACTAGATGAGCGAAATTTCTTTTGAGAAATAATGCTGAGAATATTTACATCGACGTTACGGCCAAAGCCCAGCAGGCAACACCTTCTAATTCCTTGGATCAGGGTACAAGAAGCGTTGTTTCCCAGCCAAGAGGGACAAGCATCTACTTGATGAAAAATGAGCCGCTTGGAATATGGAATAGACCCTCACCTACTGTATAGTTATTCTCATGATGAATACACAACAACGATGCCAACCCCTCTCAGAACATTACGTCCAGCCAGGCTACTACACAGCCCAGAAACCCATCTTGGCATCTTTCTGCCATTCTCCCTTCATAAATCAGGTAAATTTGGTAGCTCCAGGCAGAAAGCAGTTGTCCACAATAGACAGCTGTTGATTTCCAGTGGGCAAGTCCAAAATCCAGAGTTGGCCCTCTTCTACCTATCATGTTCCAAGGGTTCACCAGAACAAGCATCCTGATTGATCTGCTTCTCCTTTGGAAGGCAATCAACAGGCATATAGAAATATCCTTTAGGTAATTTCTGGTTCTTCATCGATGCTTCATCTGAAGTCATTACCAACTCTTTCTCAAAAGTCTCATAATGCTGTTATTTGATATGGTAGTGAGTATTGGTCTGAATTTATCCCTAACAGAGAAAACCTAGTGGAACAAAACAGTCAATGATGCAGAAGGAACACGCACCTTTGATTTTGAGCTCCATTCTTCCTCTTCTAAAATATTATAAGAAGCAGAAGGTCTTTGAGGTATTTGTTTCCCAGCAAAAGACATCCTCTCTGAAGGTTTTGGAGTAAAAAGGTTTTGAGATGTGGAGCTGTCATCTGTCTTTTGGTCAGTGTCCATGGTCAAACTCACCTTAATTCTGTGCTTGACAGAAATGGTGCTGTCTACTGTGACATCATCTGACCTTTGGACAGCATCACCGCATGACTTGTAACCATCCGTATTCCCTTTGAGGGATGTTGTAGCTGATTCTGAACTAACATCTGTAGGG